AACTGGTTTTCCCTCCCCGTGCTTTGCAGCGCCAGCTGGTATTATTAGCCCCTCCCCCCTGTGCTGCCATAGCTATTCGAAGACTTGCCCTGATTCCTGCTCTTTAATTTGCGTCCGAGAACCCAGCCGCCTAGAATCGAGTAATTCTAACAAGAGGGAAAGTGGCGAAGTTCCACGTTGAGATTGAACGAAGATGGCGCAGCTCCTGGTCGGCTCAAGCAATCTGTCTCACTCTCTCACATATATCCCTAGGTTTAAAAGTGGAGGTGACGCACTGCGGGCAGATGAAGAGAAAATACCGTGTGTGCAATGTCACACGGCGGCCGGCGAGTCACCAAACGTAAGTCAGGATCGGGGCCCTTGCGGAAGGGCCCGGGGGGCCCGGGAAGCCTTTTCTTTTCTGTCTGTTGGCCCTCGTTGGGTAGCGTTCTAAGTGGGGATTTAGAAGAGACAGCCGCAGAAGCCACTGAACAAGCTTTGTGACTTCTAAAACAATTTAAAATTTCCCATCTCTTGGGTACAGATGGTAAAATAAGGAAAATAAGAAAGCATAGGGAATTTGGAGCTTTCTCTCCAGGGATACCAGAATGAGTGTGTTGTGGATCTCTGACGGACTGTCTCCTGCACAGGTTCCCCCTGCAGCTGGAGAGCGGCCAGACGGTTGAATGCACGGTCGCCCAGTACTTCAAGCAAAAATACAACCTCCAGCTGAAGTACCCCCACCTGCCTTGTCTCCAAGTCGGCCAAGAACAGAAGCACACGTACCTGCCCCTGGAGGTAAAAGCCGATTTGGGGGAACGCGAAGGGTGCCCAAGGACGCCTTGAGGTCTTGCTGTCTTGCAACTGCAGTCTGTTACCTCCCCTGGCCCTTCCGGCAAGGGGTTTAAGACGTCTTGCGTTGGTTGCCGCTGGGGGTTCTGCGTTGGGCCGAAGGTCAGGATGGTTCTTTTGAAAATCTCTTGGCCAGGTGTGTAACATCGTGGCCGGCCAGCGGTGCATCAAGAAACTAACGGACAATCAGACCTCCACCATGATAAAAGCAACAGCGAGGTCTGCTCCGGACAGACAAGAGGAGATCAGCCGTCTGGTAAGTGTCATTTACAGTGGGGTCTTGACTTGAGAACTTAATCCGTATTGGAAGGCGGTTCTCAAGTCAAAAAGTCTGTAAGTCAAGTCTCCATTGACCTACAGTGCATTGAAAACTGATTAATCCCGTAACAGGCCGTTTTTGTTCCATTTTGGTTTTTTTCTGGTCTGTAAGTCAAATCTCAGTCTGCAAGTCAAACCTAAATTTTGCGGCCAGAGAAGTCTGTAACTCAAAAAGTCTGTAAGTCAAGCCGTCTGTAAGTCAAGGGTCCACTGTATTGCCCTTGCTGTCATAGGAAGGGAAGAAGGGAATAGTGAGGGTTTTTTCCCTTTTGGGCGTTGGTCACTTTGAGTGATTTATGAATTGAAGAGCCGAAGAAGTGATGGATCTTGCTGCTTCGTGGTCTAGAGAGGCTGACAAAGGAGTTCAGGACCTTCTCTGGTCTAAATCTTGGGTTGCCGATCAACTCACTGCAAAGTAGGCTCAACTCAGCTTCCTGCCTCTAGAGTGCTTGCAATACATATCACCCAGCCTCCCAACCTTATAATTAAAAGTTTGGGGGGGGGAACCCTCAAACTTCCAGCTGTCGTGTTTCTGAAGCGGAATGGAAGAGTGTGAATAAAATCGGCAGACAATAAATAAAGTCTCTTCTGAGACAGGTTTTCAAAATACAGGGTTGTTCCTTTTTTATTTAAATAATATTTTCAGACTCTGGAAAACTTTATTGTTTATAGACAGGATCAGCAAGTTCCAGATCTGGTGCAGGCAAAATCTGGCCTCCAAATTGTTGACCGGCATCTAGTTGTTAAATATTTCTCATGTATTGTATTTCTTTTATATATAATAATTAAAAATGTATGAAGTTTACACTTGGTGGAAGTCATGGGCATGTTTAGAGGAATCTAACCCTTTCTTGTTTTACAGATGAAGAATGCCAGTTATAACCTGGACCCGTACATACAGGAGTTTGGCATAAAGGTGAAGGACGACATGACCGAAGTCACGGGGCGGGTCTTGCCAGCCCCCATCTTACAGTACGGAGGCCGGGTAAGCCGTGAAGATACTCTTGGGTGCTGTTCCTTTAGCCTGACGTTGGTGGTAAGGAGGTCTTCAGGACTGCCATGGTAATCTCCTTTTAAAAACATTTGACCCCCCACCTTGCTCCTTAGAAAGGACCCAAGGTCTCTTACATCATTAACAGACAATATTTAAAAACTAAAAACAGCTAAGTATACAGATATTTAAAAAGAAGCAAACAAAGGTAACCATAAAAACAACAACACCAAGAACACATTTAAAAGCAACAAGGCACATCTGTCTGACTGTCTGTCTGTCTGTCTGTCTGTCTGTCTGTCTGTCTGTCAGAAACTTACTGTTTCTCTAATTTCTGTTTTCTCTCTCTGCTGTTACTGTTTTTAGCTAGCTGTTGGTTTTTAATACAGCTCTTGGGATGATTTTTTTTTTGTTTGCTGATCCAATGTTTACCTAACATTTGTGAGGTGCTTTAGGGTGGGGGAGGGTTGAAAAGCAGAATGTTTATTGATTTTTATTATAAAAGGAAGTAACAAAGCCCAAAACAGAAACCGGATTATTGAACGACAGTAGAAATGGGCACAAATCGCTGGGTTGGCAGTTTGTGCGGTTCATTGGGATGGCCAAACAGGTGTTTGGGGCTTTTCAGCCTCGCATCCTCCAGGGGGCGCCTACTCGGAGGCAGCAACCCAGCTTCGCTGCCCCGCCTCCTCTGTGTGCTGCCTCCTCTGGACACCTGCTGGAGGAGGCAGGGCCAGGAAGCTCCAAACATCTGTTCGGACAGTAAACAAACCAGCACGAACCACCAAACCGGTTTCTGCCCATCTCTAAACAACAGTTCTCTTAAAACTCTCTTGGTAAGCAGGATAAAACTCTGTCATGGCTCCAGAGTGTGTGTGTGGGGGGGGGGGTATGACATACAGTACTTTTTGTTGTTGTTTTGAACCAAAGTATTTGCTTTTCCCACAGAACCGTGCCATCGCCACACCAAACCAGGGGGTTTGGGACATGAGAGGAAAGCAGTTCTACAACGGGATTGAGATCAAAGTCTGGGCCATCGCCTGCTTTGCCCCTCAGAAGCAGTGCCGGGAAGAGGTTCTGAAGTAAGTGGGTGGCCCACGCAGGGCGGACGGAGGGGATGGCAGCGGGATTAAAGAGGAGCTCCCTTCTCCTCTGAAACAAGTTGTTTCCATCACGCCTTGCATTGGTCAGAAACCTGGGTGATGTTCGTCCTTGGCAGGCTAGAAACAGTGGGAGCCTCTGGAGTAGCTTAGTGTAGACGGGCGGTTCCCAATCTTGGGTCCCCAGATTTTCTTGGACCACAACTTCCAGAAATCCTGGCCCAGCACAGCTCGTGGAGAAGGCTTCTGGGAGTCGAAGTCCAAGAACATCTGGAGACCCAAGGTTGGGAACCATGGGTGTAAATGAAACCAGACTTTGAAAGGCTGGGGTAGGAAGTTCTTTAAAGCACAGTGAAAACAAAGAGATGACAAATAATGACTCGTTTCAGGATGTCATCTCCCTGTCTTGCAACACTACTGATCCGAGGTCCTGCACCTTAGCTTCCTGTGGAATCTCCCTGGCCCCGCTAGGAAGAGTTTGCAGTCAAGCCACCCTTGGGCGTGCAATGAAAATAGACCCCTTCCAGGTCTCCCTTTACAAGCTACTTTTCCATAGGGCCGGCCCTTCTGTTAGAAACAGGGAGGCAGAATCCTAAGGCAGAGGGTAGGAGGTGGGAGCAAAATTTGGGAAGAGTTTAAAAAAGTGTGCCACAGAGCCTTTCCTGTGACCTCTTAAGGCAGCCCACTGTGACACGTAGGGATTGTAAAAGATGCAAACTAGAGTCTGCCAGCCTTTGGATCACGCTGGCTTGGAAATTCTCAGAATCAACATCTATCAAAGTAATGCCCCCCACAAGCTCTGAGATCTGGATTTTGCACTACTGAGCGATCAAGACAGCCACCAAGGCTTGGAGGCGATGCGGCCACCAGTTCTTGCAAGACGCTGGTTCTTCTGGCGCCTGATTTTGCTCGAGAAGCAGTGCAGGGAAGAGGTTCTGAAGTAAGTGGGTGGCCCACGCAGGGCGGATGGAGGGGAGGGCAGCGGGATTAAAGAGGAGCTCCCTTCTCCTCTGAAACAAGTTGTTTCCATCACATCTTGTGTTGGGCAGAAACTTGGGAGATGTTTTGTCCTTGGCAGGCTAGAAACAGTAGGAACCTCTGGAGTAGCTTAGTGTAGATGGGGGGTTCCCAATCTTGGGTCCCCAGATGTTCTTGGACCACAACTTCCAGAAATCCTGGCCCAGCACAGCTCATGGAGAAGGCTTCTGGGAGTCGAAGTCCAAGAACATCTGGAGACCCAAGGTTGGGAACCACTGCTGTATAGAGTGTGATTCCATATTTTGACAAAATATATTCTTTGGCAACAACCTTACTTTACTTCCAAAGGCTTCACAATCCAGCACTGGTCAAACGTCAAAAAAGAGGAAGAACAAGCTATGGCTTTTGAGATGTTTCTCGGTTCATATCAGAGTGTTTCCTAATTTCAGGATCACAGAACACCCGTGGGTTGGGGGGGGTCCGTGAATTGGGTGGGTTTGGTGCTGTTCCAGTGCAACGTCTCTGGAAGGGGAAGATTTGCCGGCTGCGTTGCCTTTGATCAGGGGACCCCCCCCCGAGTTCACTCAAAGAACAAGCTATGGCTTTTGAGATGTTTCTCGGTTCATATCAGAGTGTTTCCTAATTTCAGGATCACAGAACACCCGTGGGTTGGGGGGGGTCCGTGAATTGGGTGGGTTTGGTGCTGTTCCAGTGCAACGTCTCTGGAAGGGGAAGATTTGCCGGCTGCGTTGCCTTTGATCAGGGGACCCCCCCCCGAGTTCACTCACAAGGCTTTCCCACTCTACGGGGAGGGTCCTGCTAAGAATCTTTTGACGTGGAAAGCTCCCCTAAAAAAGGCCACTTCCCAAGTTTCTAGTCCCAACTGGCCTTCCTGGGGGGAGTTTGCGCAGCAGCTGGCGCGCCGGCTCTGACACCGTCTCCTGTCCCCCCCCAGCGGAGGTCAAGCGCGTGGGAGACACACTCCTGGGAATGGCCACGCAGTGCGTGCAGGTGAAGAACGTGGTGAAAACATCCCCGCAAACCCTTTCCAATCTCTGCCTCAAGATCAACGTCAAGCTTGGAGGGATCAACAATATCTTGGTGCCCCACCAGCGGTACGTCGGCCGGGGCGGTGGAGGCGAGAGGGGGCCGAAAGCGCTGAGCTTCTGGGGGGTGGTGGGGCTGGTCTACTTCCAACGCAGAGTGAGTAAACCGGGACCCCGATCTCCTGCAGACCTTATCTGGCTCTGGCATAGAGCAGATAAACTGGGTTTCCCCCACTGGGAACTGCAGCATAGCCACTAAGCATGCATGCAGTGATGAATCAAGGGCATATGGGGCCCTACTGTACTTCCTTATAAATTTTCCACTCCATCCCTTCCCTTCTCCCCAGCTCTGCTGTCTTTCAGCAGCCGGTTATATTCCTGGGTGCTGATGTAACTCACCCGCCCGCCGGGGATGGAAAGAAGCCCTCCATAACGGCGGTAAGTTTCCCCTTCGGAGCGGTTTGGCGATCGACGGAAAGATGGAGACCGGGTGAATCTTGACCAAGCCTTGACTTTCCGTCCCAAGATCTGGCTGCATGTCTTTGCCCCCTTGTCTCCCTGCATGGCTCCGGGACGGGGCGTCATCATCAGGCTAGTTTCTGTCATGCCTCCAAAATGGGTGTTGTGCATGGACGCCATTTCTAAGCTGCCGGTCTACCATTACGCAGGGTCGACAGGGCAGCACGATGGCATCTGAAAGGGGTTGCCTTGAGGACCAAGCTAAAGGGTTATAAATTGGCAAATCTGTAGGTCCTCGGGAACTGCTCCTGAAGGCATTTTGGAGTGAGTGGTGGGGCAGGCTGCTATCTCTCAAAATGTGGGGTCTATGAATCTGAACCTTATAGGAGCTATCCAGGGTGCTAAGGTGTTTGGCCGTACCCTCCCCACAAAAGATCTGGATCTTTGGACAGCTCCTTTCAACAACCACCGGGTGCCAATTGCCACCAGCCTTTTGATAGCTGTATCGGCTTGTTCCCCCCCCCCAAGCATGACAGAGCAAGGCTTTGTGAGCTGAACGCCTCCAGCCAGGCCTGTTCTTCCCTTTTCTCTCCTTTCAGTGAAGGTGGGGGAGGTCACCGTTTTGCTTTGTCTTGGCCGCAGGTGGTCGGGAGCATGGACGCCCACCCGAGTCGCTACTGCGCCACCGTGCGGGTCCAGCGCCCGCGGCAGGAGATCATTGAGGATCTCTCGTACATGGTCAGAGAGCTCCTCATCCAGTTCTACAAGTCCACGCGCTTCAAGCCCACCCGTATCATCTTCTACCGCGACGGGGTGCCGGAAGGACAACTGCCACAGGTCAGATAAGACGAGAGGCTCCTCTCGGTGCAGAGAGCAACGAATGCCCTTTGGACAGTGGGAGAAATTTAAACGTGATCAATGCAGAGTTGTGAATAAATGGCTGTCTAGAAGAAAGAGAGAAAAGAAGTCATTGTTTCTTGGTGGTTTCCACTTCCCCGGGTGGAATATCCCTAATCTGGTTCCATCTCTACTGAGGCTTTGCACCCTATCTTTCTCCTTGTTAGCTTCCTTGTTATTCCTTTGTGTGGCTCCTTCTTTATAAAGCCCGGTGGCTGTTTTGTCCTCCCAGATCCTGCACTACGAGCTCCTGGCCATCCGCGACGCCTGCATCAAGCTGGAGAAGGACTACCAGCCGGGCATCACCTACATCGTTGTACAGAAACGACACCACACTCGCCTTTTCTGTGCCGATAAGAACGAAAGGGTGAGGTTCAGGGAGAGTTGGCTCGTCTGTTGGTCTTTCTGTTGCATCTCTAGAGGAAGCCGTCTCGATTCCCTTGCCTGGAACGCTAAGTCGGGTCATAACAACGGTGTGCCGTCAAGTCCATTCTGACTTACGATGGCCCTTTTTTTGTGGTTTTCCGTGTAGAGAATACTGGGAATCGGTTTCCCATTCCCTTCTTCTGGGATGGCGTAGCTTGCCTGAGGCCAGGTGTTCTCTGGAAGGCTTCTGGTGCTGGAACACTGCTCAACGCCTCCCAAAGTCATGGGTTCTGTTCTCGTACTGCTCTAACAGTTAAGAAGTTTTTCCTGAGATTCACCCCAAATCTGGCTTCCTGTCTCTTGAGCCCATCATTATGTGTCCAGCACTTTGGGATAACTGAGAACAGATCCTGCCCCTCCACTACGGGACAGCCTTTCAAATCTTTGAAAAGTGGTATCCTGCCTCCCCTGAGTCTTCTTTTCTGAAGGCTAAACATGTCTGGGTTTTTTTTCCCCAGTCTTTCCTCCGAGTCTTCTTTTTCTGAAGGCTAAACATGCCTGTTGTTTTTTCTTCAGTCTTTCCTCTTAGGACTCGGCTGAGATGGTGTATTCAAGTTTAGATGCTAATTCCATTTTTAGTTTTCTTAGTATATTATTATGTGTGCAACGGCTTGTTCCGAGATCCCAAAGAGATCGCTTGATGGGGATTAATAGAAAAATCTGCCCCATAGCCTTAGGAACTGCTCACACTCTTAATTATGTGTGCAACGGCTTGTTCCGAGATCCTAAAGAGATCGTTTGATGGGGATTAATAGAAAAATCTGGCCCATAGCCTTAAAAACTGCTCACACTCTTAATGTCTGTCTGTCTTTCTTTCTTTCTTTCTTTCTTTCTTTCTTTCTTTCTTTCTTTCTTTCTTTCTTTCTTTCTTTCTTTCTTTCTTTCTTTCTTTCTTTCTTTCATTTTTATTTATTTATTTATTTTGCTTATTGCCTTTGTCATTTCTAACTCTGCAGATTGGTAAAAGTGGCAACATCCCAGCAGGGACGACGGTGGACACGAACATTACTCACCCCTTTGAGTTTGACTTCTACCTGTGCAGCCACGCTGGCATTCAGGTGACTTGTCTTTCACAGAGAGCGCTCGGGTGCCGATTCATATAACCATAATTCTAGAGACATTTCAGTTCCCCCAGTCCTGTCGCCTCCCTATTAAGGGCGGCCGTAAAGCAGAGGGTGCGAATCCCATCACCTTCGGCAGCCTCAGGGTGTTTGTGTGCACCTCTTCAGGGGGGGTGGGTTGGCAGGGGGGGGATTATACTTCCAAGAAGCCAGAGGGGAAACCTTTGTCTTCTAAAACTGCCCGTCCACCCACACCGCTTCACTAGAACAACCGCCAGGGATAGACGTTGGCAAATCTTTGGGTCCGAGTCCTAAGGGATTATACTTCCAAGAAGCCAGAAGGGAAACCTTAGTCTTCTAAAACTGCCCATCCACCTGCATCGCTTCACTAGAACAACCACCAGGGATGGACGTTGGCAAATCTTTTGGGCCCGAGTCCTGAGTTTTGAGTGTTTGGTGCCAAGTCCTGTATTCGAGTCTTTGCCACCGAGTCCAAGTCTTTTGACGCCAAGGGCCAAGTCTTAAGTCCCTATTAAAAACAAGCTTTTCCCCCCCCAGGGGGAAAAAAAGAGGGAGAGGTGGGTTCATTGAACCCCTTCTCTTGAGTCAGTCTGAGTCGAATCACGGGTGGGAGTCCCGTGACTCTAACCCCCAACCCTGACAACGATCTCTTTAGAAACCAGGATGGGCCCTTCCAGTTGCTACTGGTTGTGTTAAGAAGGAACCCACACCCTCCATAATGGATATGGGGAAACGTAGAAGGGACTGATCGAATGGCCATTCTTCCCCTGGGAGTCAGTCCTCTGCATCCTGGTGCTGGTTGTGGGGTGGGGGAGGGCTTCCTAATTAGGGCAGGGATGAAGAACCATCGCCCTCTCTTGGTCCACAAACCATCCCTGGTTGGTTCCTTTCAGCAGGAAAGAGGGCCGCCCCCTCCAGTTTCTCCTTCTGCCTCCTTGGAAGCCAGAGGGGGCTTCTGCAATAGTTTCAGGGCCTGGAACGCCTTTCGTTGTGGAGACAGCCCTGAGAAACCGAACTGGCCCCAAACTGGTCCAGGCTACGTTTCCAGCCAGGAAATGCAGACATCCCAGCCTGGGATTCGCCTGCCCAGGAATTTCCATGAATAAGGCATCCCTATTAAAAACAAGCTTTCCCCCCCAGGGGAAAAAAACTGGTCCAGGCTAGGTTTCCAGCCAGGAAATGCAAACATCCCAGCCTGGGATTCGCCTGCTCAGGAATTTCCATGAATAAGGCGTTAAACAGATTATTACTAGGTGAAAGAACTAAATTAAAGCAAATTTTACAGATCCAGGATGATGATTTCAGAGGTCACAGGCAGAGCAATCTTGGCAGAAACTCAGCCACCCAGGGAAGAAAAAAATTCCCCTTCCGTTTCTGCTGATCTGCTGTACTTCGGACAGGTGCAGGAATGCCGGAAGAAGGATTCCCGAGATCCCCTCGGATCGGGCTGTCTTAAAAACACGCTGCTCTTCGGGTGCTCTCACCTTCTGCGCCGCAAAGGCATCGTCTGTGCTTCGCCTTCCTTCCTCCCAGCAGAAATCCTGCTTCTTTCCCCCTGAAACTCACGCTAGGTCTTCCCTTCCTCCAGGGTACGAGCAGACCTTCTCATTACTACGTCCTTTGGGACGACAACCGGTTTACAGCAGACGAACTTCAAATCCTCACCTACCAGCTTTGCCACACGTACGTTCGCTGCACCCGCTCGGTTTCTATCCCAGCACCAGCATATTATGCCCGCCTGGTGGCATTTCGGGCACGGTATCATCTTGTGGACAAAGAGCATGACAGGTGAGTGGCCGGGCTGGGGTAACGCGATAGAGACCGTATTTTTCTGTGTATAAGACGCCCCCCACTTTTCTAACCCGAAAGTAAGAATTCTAAGTGGGGCTTAGGGGGAAAGGGATCAAAGAGCTGCAGGATCGCTTTGATCCCTGCTTTCCCCTCCACTTATTTTTGTTCTCTCCGCAGCTTACTTCCGTGTATAAGACGACCCTCAATTTTCATTCTAAAGATTTTAGACAAAAGTATAGTCTTATATGGGGAAAAATACGGTACCTTTTCCTTCCCAACACTGGATCCAGTGTTGGGAAGAAAAACGCACGACATCTCTGGTGGCCGGTGTACGAACCGATGGGCGCCATGATGGGTGCCCATCTCTGGTAGTAGTAGGTATGATGATCCGAAGGTGGAGACTCGGTGGAGCAGCCATGAAGGAATTAGAAAAGATCATCAAGTGTAACGATGTGTCATTGGAGACCAAGATATCATCCACCCTCTTGTATTTTAGGTCACCGTGTAGAGGTGTGAAAGCTGGATAGGAAAGAAAGCTATAGCAGGCAAGAAATGATATATTTGAAATGTGGCGCTGGAGGAGAACCATCTGAATCAGTGGAACGTATGGCGGAGTTGACCCACCAAATCCCCAGTGATTCAATGGGCTTACTCTGGTGCAACAGGATTCCAGCCCCTGTGTTTTGTAGACTTGTTTCCCCCGCATGGGAAGCCACAGCTGTGGTTTCCTATCTTACAAACTCACGTTTTTGCTATGTTTTTCCCCCTTTTCCGACCCCCCCCCTCTCCCGACCCCGTTTTCTCTTCCAGCGGAGAAGGCAGCCACATCTCTGGCCAAAGCAACGGCCGCGACCCTCAGGCCTTGGCCAAGGCGGTTCAAGTTCATCAAGACACTTTACGTACCATGTATTTTGCTTGAGAGCCTGATTTTTTTACCTCACTCCAGAAAGCTTTCATATTTGTAGGAGCCATACAGAAAAAATAAAAACAGACAGGAAAAAAAAAAGAAAAGAAAAAGGAAGCATTGGGTGACCCCCCCCTTGAGGGGGGCATCCAATGAGGAATAAGCTGCAGGGCACGGATGGCGGTGGAGGCAGGAAAACCAGCGACCCTCTGAGGTGAAGAAAAGGGAGCCACTTCTCCAGATGAAGGTGCCACGGTTGCATTTCAAGAGAGATTGCCTTCGTTTTCCAGACTTTCCGATCGGCCAACAGAAATGAAACACAAAAGTAGTTTAAACCACGGAAGTGGGGCGGGGCGGAGCGGGATCTCACTTCCTATCCAAGCGAAAGTGGTTTGTTTTTTTTCATTTCTCGGGTGGGTTGGGTTGGAAATGCAATATTTAGATGTTCGACTGTGAAAAAAAAAATTAGCTCTTCTGGTCCTCCGACGCCCAATTCAAAACGCCGGTAAGATGTTCTTTTCTTGTTGTTTTGGGGTGGGGGAGGGGTGGGACACTCGAAGGGACTTGTAGAGCCTTAAAAAAAACACAGATGACTAGATTTATAAAAACTAATATTTTAGGATACAAAATGCTTTAATTGGTGAAGAAGAAGAAAACGCCAGTAGTTTATAGATGGATTTTAACACTGTTACCCCTTCCCCATGAACGGAGCCACTTCTCCAGATGAAGGTGCCACGGCTGCATTTCAAGAGAGATTGCCTTCGTTTCCCAGACTTTCCGATCGGCCAACAGAAACGAAACACAAAAGTAGTTTAAACCACAGAAGTGGGGCGGGGCGGGGCGGGAT